ATTTAATACCTAGGAGCAGAGAAGAAGATTTACAAAGATTTCATGTATTTTCTCTATATAATCTATAAAGCCCCACACTAACACCAGAACCCCTGACCCTGGGGCCATAAAATTTACAGTTTTGGTAGAGGCACCCTTGCTCTTCATTACTATGCACTTAGTTTATTTATTTAATACCTAGGAGCAGAGAAGAAGATTTTCAAAGAATTCATGTATTGTCATTATATAATCTGTAGAGTCCCACCCTAACACCAGAACCCCTGACCCTGGGGCCTTAAATTCACAATTTTGGTAGAGGCACTCTTGCTCATTATAACTATGCACTTAGTTGGTTTAATAAATACCCAGGAGCAGAGAAGATTTTCAAAGAAATAATGTATTTTCACTATATACTTATTTAGCCCCGCCCTAGCACTAGAACCCTTGACCCAGGGCCATGAATTTCACAATTTTGGTAAAGGACTCAATGCTAATTACAATCATGCAAATAGTTTGACTGCTTGATGTCTTGGAGTAAAGAAGAAGATTTTCAAAGATTGCACTAATTTTAGTGGTTTTGGCCCAACCCCTCAAGCCCCAGGAGGGCAGGGATCATGAAATTCACAATTTTTGTTCCCCTTCACTCATAGATGCTTTGTGCCAAATTTGGTTGAAATTGGTTCAGTGGTTGCAGAGAAGAAGGTGAAAATGTTCAAATGTTAACGCACGACGACGGACGAAAACAGATGGCAAAAGGTCACCTGAGTTTACTCAAGTGACCTTAAAATGGTATGTACATGTAACAATGTGGGAAATAAATAGTGCATGGTGTTTATATTTTTGTCATGGGATTGTTATCGTTATGAATAACTTCTATTGACTTTATAACAGAATAAGTACATGTACCTTTTCAATTCACGGAAAACCTTCATTAGCTTACATTTTCTGTTCCTCGCAATAATCGTGTTCTGGACCTAATTATTTTGTGTATATGTATCCATACAAGTCATCTTATACACTTATTTATACGTAATTGAAATTTATGTTTGATATTTTTTTAACAACCCCATGGTCATGCCTTTATTTTGTCCAAAGTTTTCGGTCATTGCAGACATTGATATCAACATCATCTAGTTTATACGCTTCTTTTCATTAATTTCTCGATTGTCGTTGTTACGTATAATAAGAAGTCTTTAAGTTATATCCCACATTGCAAAGTTATTTTCCTCTTTCTGTCTTCATTGAGCAATTGATTCATAAGGTATGTAAATGAATAAAACATTCTTACGGAGCCTAAAACTGAACAAAGATCGTTCATTATTAAGGACAAACTGTAATTTTAATGGGATTTTAATGTGAAGTCTAGAGTACGAAAATTATTAAAACGTGTAGGGAGCTTCCACCACTTGCTTTGTCTCCCCTAGTTCTAACGGACCTGGTATCATATCATTAATCTTGAACTGAGAAGCCGTTCAGTATTGATCAAATGAGGAAAATGTCAAGGACTTTTCACCCCCCCCCCCCTTAGGGATAACGTACCCATCGTACTTTGATCGAAGAGAATTACAAAAACCCTCAAACATGAATAGGTTTGTCACACCTGCCTATGAGAGTTTATTGATATGCCCCCCATCATTACCACCTTAGGAAAATCTTTGATTCACCTCTGACATTTCCAACACACTCCCTTTGCCCACTAGAAATAAAATAAATAAATCTGTCTTGATAGACTTATTTTTTTTCACTTTGTTACATCCATATAGAAGTACGATTAAAAACGTTAGAAAAAAAATAATTTCTTGCGTTATATTTTTTGATTCGGGGGTGGGGTTATTGATTGTTATAATAAAGACAAAACATCGGTAACCATTTTCTCAGTATATAATTTAGAAATTTGTCTATTTTCATATCGGGATCGCATCTCGCCGGTTCAGATTTGTTTCATATTCAGATGCGAATTCGTTTCATAGAAGTTATGTTTCTGAATATGAATCGAATCTGAAAATGAATCCAAAGCGGTGAAATTCCGATCCTAATTCGAAAAATGAGAAAAAAAAATCATTATTAAGGGAATAATGAGTCTACGAGTTATCTTAATATTTATACGGAATCGAAAACTGCTTGATGTCCAGGAGTGGTTTTTGCTCCCCCCTCCCAGGCCCCAGGGGGGCAGGGACCATGTAATTCACAATTTTTATTCCCCTTCACCCATAGATGTTTGTGCCAAATTTGGTTGAAATTGGTTCAATGGTTGCAGAGAAGAAGCTGAAAATGTTCAAATGTTAACGCACAACGCACGACGACGGACGAAAACAGATGGCAACAAATAGGTCACCTGAGTTTACTCAAGTGACCTTAAAATGGCATGTACATGTAACAATGTGGGAAATAAATAGTGTATGGTGTTTATATTTTTGTCATGGGATTGTTATCGATATGAATAACTTCTATTGACTTTATAACAGAATAAGTACATGTACCCTTTCAATTCACGGAAAACCTTCATTAGCTTACATTTTTTGTTCCTCGCAATAATCGTGTTCTGGACCTAATTATTTTGTGTATATGTATCCATACAAGTCATCTTATACACTTATTTATACGTAATTGAAATTTATGTTTGATATTTTTTTTAACAACCCCATGGTCATGCCTTTATTTTGTCCAAAGTTTTCGGTCATTGCAGACATTGATATCAACACATTTCTAGTTTAAACGCTTCTTTTCATTAATTTCTCGATTGTCGTTGTTACGTATAATAAGAAGTCTAAGTTATATCCCACATTGCAAAGTTAATTTCCTCTTTCTGTCTTCATTGAGCAATTGATTCATAAGGTATGTAAATGAATAAAACATTCTTACCGAGCCTAAAACTGAACAGAGATCGTTCATTATTAAGGACAAACTGTAATTTTAATGGGATTATAATGTGAAGTATAGAGTACGAAAATTATTAAAACGTGTACGGAGCTTCCACCACCTGCTTTGTCTCCCCCAGTTCTAACGGACCTGGTATCATATCATTAATCTTGAACTGAGAAGCCGATCAGTATTGATCAAGTAAGGAAAATGTCAAAGACTTTTCACCCCCCCCCCCCCCACTTGGGATAACGTACACATCGTACTTTGATCGAAGAGAATTACAAAAACCCTCAAACATGAATAGGTTTGTCACACCTGCCCATGAGAGTTTATTAATATGCCCCCCATCATCACCACCTTAGGAAAATCTTTGATTCACCTCTGACATTTCCAACACACTCCCTTGCCCACTAGAAATAAAATAAACAAATCTGTCTTGATAGACTTATTTTTTTCACTTTGTTACATCCATATAGAAGTACGATTAAAAACGTTAGAAAAAAAAATCATTTCTTGCGTTATATTTTTTGATTCGGGGTGGGGTTATTGATTGTTATAATAAAGACAAAACATCGGTAACCATATTCTCAGTATATAATTTAGAAATTTGTCTATTTTCATATCGGGATCGCATCTCGCCGATTCAGATTTGTTTCATATTCGGATGCGAATTCGTTTCATAGAAATTATGTTTCTGAATATGAATCGAATCTGAAAATGAATCCGAATCGGTGAGATCCCGATCCTAATTCGAAAAATGAGAAAAAAAACATTATTAAAGAAATAATGAGTCTACGAGTCATCTTAATAATTATACGGAATCGAAAACTGCTTGATGTCCAGGAGTGGTTTTTGCCCCCCCCCCCCCCCCCAGACCCCAGGGGGCAGGGACTATGTAATTCACAATTTTTGTTCCCCTTCATCCATAGATGCTTTGTGCCAAATTTGGTTGAAATTGGTTCAGTGGTTGCAGAGAAGAAGCTGAAAATGTCCAAATGTTAACACACGATGGGCGACGCACGACGACGGACGAAAACGGATAGCAACAGGTCACCTGAATTTACTCAGGAGACCTAATAAATATAATTTAGAAATATGTCTTTTTTCAAATCGAGATCGGTATCCCTCCGATTCAAATTCGTTTTATATTCATTTTCAGATTCGGATTCGTTTCATATTCAGAAATATCTCTATTCAGAGACATCTTTTATTAAAACTACTAGTATATCTAAAGATTTGCTTTTGCTGTAAAAAATTGTCATGTGACTTTAGGAATTTTCCATAAAATCACATGTACATTGTACATGTGTTAAACATATAAATGTCTACTTTAGGTTTAATTTAATCAATAAATACATTGTGTTCATAGAATAAAATTGGCAAGTATTAACAGGTGTATATAAGTTTGTATAATCAGACTTTTGACTCCTTCATATTTGCAATCAGTGTGAGGTAAGTCCAACTGTAAACCCATGGCCGCACTGGCCAATGTTTTATTTGGGATACTGCACCTTACTTAAAATCATCAGTTCTTGTGCATATTTTTTTTTGAATTATTAATCACTTTGACTGATTTATTGATTGTATTTTGTTTAACGTCCTATTCGAGAATATTTCACTCATGTATGAGACGTCACCATATACCGGTGAAGGGCTTCAAATATCCATTACTCGGCACTCAGGGTCATTGAATTTTTATCGAGTCAACGCTTATCGACTTTGGTTTAATATATTTTGATTGACGTACAGGTGTTGACTGTTGGAAAAGAAATAATATGTTTTTATATTCATGTCTCAGAACCATTAATCCTTTTTATGTATCAATCACTTCGTATAATAATTTTGAAAATTTCTTTCATTTAATTTACAATAATCAATCAATCATTTCAAGAAAGAAACACATCGATACAGGAGTTAACTCAGCTAGTGTCTATCGATAATGCATTGATGGCGTACTCGTAATTTTTCTTAAAGATATATATTTTATTTTCACTCGGGTGTCCGATGCTCTAACAGCAATGTCCCACTTGGTGCAGACACATTATGTTTTAAAACTGAGATTCATATTATTAAGGAAATAATGAAATAGAATAAAAATAAAGTTCATAATTCACAGTGATCTTACCCTTTAAAGTACATAGGAAATAGTAAAATTGGAATGAAAATAAAGATTTTAATTCACAATGATTGCATAGTTGTCTAATTAGAGTTTTCTCTGTATTTGTTTTTTGGAGGGTTAGTGTTGAATATTTCTTGTATGTTCAATAATGGGATGTTAAAATATCTGAATATAGACATTTAAGAAGGTAAAACAATATGCCAGATTGTAAACAATTCACAACATGAATCAGATAAAAGCAGTGTTAATGTTAGTCATTTAATTGTTGTAATTGTTAATGATAGTAGATAATACAATAAACAATTCAATACATCAGCGAAAAAATAGTAGAGAAAAACTGAGTAATGATTTTTTTTAAATAATAAGATTATATCAATGACTTTATAGGACTATATCGCGAAATCCATAACGTAATTACTTAAAATCAAAATCTTTACTTTGTAATATAACATTAAATAATATTACACTGATAAACCCCTTATGATTAGAATGATTAAATCATGAGTCAGTATATTTAACATCGTATGTACATTATAAAAGACAATCATGACAGGAAATATCTAAGTAGACTTAATGTCGTAATTATAAAAAAACTGATTTAAATAAACAATTTTAACGAAATGTAAAACGGCATAAACACATGCGTTTCAGGTAGGTTTGATCATCATAAAAGTCTCCTTTATCTGTTTACTATCAGTCACTGTGGGATACCATGGAGCGGACCAGGACCCCGGGGACCAAGGACCGTTAAGGAAGGCTCGGTGGCAGTCATTGAACCACCAGCCTCCTCTACGGGTACTGTAAGCAGCACAGTTATATCCTCTAGACCCGTTGTTATCCCTGTCCGGGGTACTGAAGGACATCCCAGACAGATCGTAGCTTCTCATGCTGTCTCCTGAAATACATAATAATAATATTATAACAATATCAATAGACACAAAAGTCATCTCCAGTCAATCTGTCTTTATCTCTGTCCAGGGCGGAGAAGTTAATCAAAAAAAGATCTCTGTTAGAATAACTTACGCTAACCTACAGTTATCAAGGATAAATATAACACGGTCATCTATTTCAAATCATATCATTCCTATCTATGACAATCAAAGTTTTAAAAAAATCACATTTATTATCCTGTATTGGACACCATATTTAACTAATTTTTGTGTTTTCAATTTCGGCGGTTGCACTTCACCTCAAAAAATAATTTACGGGGTACGGTATAGGATCATTAAACTCTAAGGTTTATTAGAACACTGCCATGAATAAGTTGTGTAAATTCATTCAAGCAAATTAATAAAAAAAAAAAGCATGAGAACAGGTTTTACGCTATTCAACTTATACTCTTTCTAAAATCATGCCTAGTCCCAATGGAAAATAACTATTGTAGTAACAGTACTACACAGCTTATTGTGCCACGTACGTGTTACATATGGTTGCACATAACACATGTATCACGTATGTGAAATGTACGTATCACATACGTGTATTACAAACATACGTTTCACGTATGTAGTACAACGTACGTATAACATATGTGTGACTACATACGTTTCACATAACGTACGTTAAACGTATGATTGGAATACACGTATGTGTTACGTACGTGAAACGTACGTGTAACATATGTTATGTGCAACCATACGTTACACGTACGTTAATAAACGTACGGTTTACATGTATATTGTCAACCACATGTTACACGTACGTTAATTAACATATGGTTTACATGTGTAGAGTCAACCACATGTTACACGTATGTTAATGAACACATGGTTTACATGTGTATAGTCAACCACATGTAACACGTAAGTTAATGAAGTCATAGTTTACATGTGTTTTATAAAGCACAAATGTCATGTATATATATAGTTTATGTGCATTATAAACCACACATTAAATATACTAATGTACAAATATAAATCATGGTTTACTTGTATTCTAAAGCTCTCATTACATAATTATATTAATGAATATAGTATGTGTATTATCAGGCACATGTTACATATACATTTAAAAAGGTGTTTTACATGTGTGAAAACCTATGTTTGAGAATGAGAAGGCTATATATTTTGTAAATTCATATTATTACATACATGTATGTTAAATGCAGGTTGACTATAAATCTTATCCTTTTTATTTTATTTCAAATTTAATTTTTTAATCAAATTATCATTTAGTTTTTGCTATAAAGAGAAGAAAAAAAACCAATGCGTTTAACATTTATTGTTGCTAGAGACTACATAATTTCACTTAAAATACAGGAACTTTTTGTATAAAAGTATGGCTGACTTCCACAAATAACTATTTTTCCTTAATAGTTTAAGTTTTGGAGAACTTAATAAGATATTATTTAACATAACAATCAATAGGCACTTAGGGCTTAACTTGTTATTCAGGAAGAAGATCAATCATAGTGATATGACCGTCTAAAAAATCCTTCTTTTAATAACGGGTCCTTATATCAGAAGTTGCATGTCTTTTAATAATTATAATATTTTAAAATCTTAAATATCTTTTTTTGACATAAACATTATTATGATATTTGGTTAAACCCAATCACAACTGAAGCATACATGTGTGTGCGTTGTTGACTTGTCGTGTGCGTATTTAATGTTTCAATTTATTTCACATTGTTTACCTTACGTCCACTTTTATGTCTGGCATAATGTTATCAGTTCGCATTGGTTTAAAATTTACTCTAAAAACAGTTAACAAAGTTTACATTAAAAGTTCTCCAATCTCGTCATATGTATCGGATATCGGTAGAGGCACATAAAATTGAACTCGGTCATCGGTAGACATAATCAATCCGAATTCAAGAGCAAAAATATATTTTAAAAAAGAAAGAAATTCACGATAATTTCACAACAAATCTCAAAAGGGAGTAAATGATTCATCTAGATAATTATCAAATATACAGTGGGTACCGTCCGTATAAAACTTATAAAATATACCTTCCGGAATTTTCCAGCCTCCATTTATGTATTACATGTACGTTACCAGTGACGTCACTGGAAAGAGAAGTCTGACGTCTGCAAGTTCTAGGGCCTAGCTAAAGATGAGGAATGCATAAAATCAACAATTATTTAATTTCTTTATGACTGTGTGTTGCATGTAAACTAAGGGGGTGTTTTTTCAGTGTATTACATAATGGAGACGTGGGTATTGACCATGTTGAACCAGTGAGCTGTCTTGGTCAGCACCCAGATGTATCCATCAACACGGGCACGTCAGGGGTTCTAGTGTAAGGGCGGGGATCTATATATTATATAGTGAAAATTCATGAATTCTTTGAAAATCTTCTTCTCTGCTCATGAGTATTAAATAAACTAACTTAGTGCATAGTTATGATGAGCAAGAGTGCCTCTACCGAAATTGTGAAATTTATGACCCCGGGGTCAGGGGTTCTAGTGCTAGGGTGGGGCTAAATACGTATATAGTGAAAATGCATTATTTCTTTGAAAATCTTCTTCTCTGCTCCTGGGTATTAAATAAACTAACTAAGTACATAGTTATGATGAGCAAGAGTGTCTCTACCGAAATTGTGAATTTTATGGCCCCAGGGTCAGGGGTTCTAGTGTTAGGGCGGGGCTCTATAGATTATATAGTGAAAATTCATGAATTCTTTGAAAAATTTCTTCTCTGCTCCTGAGTATTAAATAAATAAACTAAGTGCATTGTTATGATGTGCAAGAGTGCCTCTACCAAAAATGTGAAATTTATAGCCCCAGGGTCAGGGGTTCTAGTGTTAGGGTGGGGCTCTATTGATTATATAATGGAAATACATGAATTCTTTGAAAAAAATTCTTTTCTGCTCCTAGGAATCAAATAAACTAAGTACATAGTTATGATGAGAAAGAATACCTCTTCCAAAATTTTGATTTTATGGCCCTAGGGTCAGGGGTTCTAGTGATAGGGTGGGGCTCTATTGATTATTTAGTGAAAATACATTAAATCTTTGAAAATTTTCTTCTCTGCTCTTGGGTATTAAGCAGATGAATTACCTATGTAGTTATGGTGAGGAAGGACCCTAATCTTCCAGAATTGTGAATTTCAAGGCCCCAGGATCAGGGGCACCATAGGGGGGGATGTACTTATATACTGAAACTGGATGAATTGTTTGAGATCTGCTCCTTGGTATTAATCAAATATTTTTGAAAAGCAAGGGTGTCTTTTCAAAAATTATGCAATGTGTGAATCTAGGCCTAAGGGTCAGGGGTTCATGTGGTATAGGGGCATTACTGATTATTGCTGAATATTACTGATTACTTGAAATGCATTTTTTGTTCATCCACCCTGCCTATGGGTATTAAGTAAACAAACTAAGCAACTGTTAAGTATATTGTTATGATGATCAAATGAACAACATGAAATCAAAATTGTGAATGCCATAGCATCTTGCTTAAAACATAAATCAAATCAAATCACTGGAAAGTTGTTGCATAATGCTCAGGTGACCTATAAGGCCCATGGGCCTCTTGTTAGATCACCTAAGCCACAGGCTCTTCTGATTAAAATTTGTCCGTTGTTGTTGTTGGTGTCATTGTTGTCGTTGTAAACTTTTCACATTTTCATCTTCTTCTCAAGAACCACTGGGCCAATTTCAACCAAACTTGCTGCAAAGTATCCTTGGGTAAAGGGGATTCAAGTTTGTTCAAATGAAGGGCTGCGCCCTTTTCCAAGGGGAGATAATTATGAATTAGAAAAAAATTAATGGCATTTTTAAAAAATCTTCATCTCAAGAACCACTAAGCCAGGAAAGATGAAACTCATGTGGAATCATCCTCAGGTAGTGTAGATTCAAGTTTGTTCAAATCCTGACCCCCCAGGGTAGTGTGGGGCCAAAATGGCCGAATAAAGTTTTACTTATGAATATACAGGAAAATCCTTTAAATATTTTCTTCTCAAGAACCACTGGACCAGGAAAGATGAAACTCATGTGGAATCATCCTCAGGTAGTGTAGATTCAAGTTTGTTCAAATCATGACCCCCGGGGGTAGGGTGGGGCTAAAATGGCCAATCAAAGTTTTACATAGGAATATATTAGAAAAATCTTCTTCTCAAGAACCATTGAGACAGGAAAATGAAACTTATATGGAATCATCCTCAGATAGTGTAGATTCAAGCTTGTTCAAATCATTACCTCCGGGGGTAGGGTGGGACCAAAGTGGCCAATAAAAGTTTTACATAGGAATATCTAGGGAAACCTTTTAAAATCTTGTTTTCAAGTACTTTAAAGCCATGCTTAGTGATATTTATAGGGAATCATCCTCAGGTAGTGGAGATTCAAGTTTGTTCAAATCATGGGGGGGGGGGGGTAAAATTAAAACCACCCCCCCCCCCCAGCAAACTTTCAGTTCTGATCTGATGTGTGATTTTCCTAGCAAATTGCTCAGGTGAGCGATGTGGCCCCTGGGCCTCTTGTGAGAATGTGGGTCATAACTCAAGATCCCCTTGGACAATCATTGTCAAATTTTCACAGGGCATCCTTGGCCCAAGGGCTACCATTTATACTAAAATTAGGGTTTGGACCTTATACAAGGGGAGATAATCAGGAAGATAAAACCAAAAGAAGTCTATATTGGCCTAAATATCTTCAGTCCTAACTGGCTAAGAATCATTGAACTTTCTTGATTGATGTATTTTGGGTCTTATAAAGATAGAGGCTTCAAATACTAGTGAAAGATTGTACAATTTATTAGAAGAGCGATTCAAGGCCCTTGAGTTTCTTGTTGTCCATTGTCATACACTCACAGTGCTCTGTCTGGTAAAATTTTAGCATTTACTGCCTCCTCCCTCCACCTCCACCCAAACTAAAGGGGGGGGGGGTAACCCATCAAAATAATTCAAAATTGTATTTTTTTAATTGGACATCAAGCAAACTAATAGCAAGATTTTAATTAGCATAGAGTCCTAATGAAATTATGAAATTCATATAGTCCAAGGGTAGTTGGATCAGATGTCAAGGTACAGCTTTATCAATTAATCATAAACTGAAAATGCATTGATTCATTGAAAATCTATATAATGCTCCTAAGTTGAAAGCAAAAAGACTAAGTTCATGACAATGAGGAATAAGTTTTGTACCCCTGTAATCAAAGATTCTGGGGTACATCTATATAGCTTTTACCCTGTCTGTCTGTCTGCAAAATCTTTTTACATTGGTCATATTATTTTAGTGGGTGAAAGTATGGCTTTCATTTTTTATAGACCTGGGTATTCATAGTGACAATACTTTTGTATTGGTACACCAAATTAACCTTTTGAATTGAACTTGGAGTATGATTCACTTTTAAGAAAGTTTCATAACTTGAATCTTGGCCTTAACTTTTGAACAGTTGGTGCAAGGGCTTTCATACTTCAGTTGTATATTAATTGTGACAAAACCTTTCAATGGGTATAAATTAAAATATTTGACCTCGTACTTCTAGTTTAACCCACTGTTGAAAAACTAACTTTGATCATAACTTTTGAGCTGATAGTAGTAGGGCTTTCATTTTTCACATATTTACTCTTTGTGACAAGTCTGTCCTTGGATGTCAACAATTTTGACCTTGACTTTGCAGTTTGACTTGCACTTGGGAAACTTGAACCATAAGCTGGCATATGGGGTATCAGTATGTACAGTTTTTTTCCGAGTTCACCCACAAATCAATGCTATGTAATGAATTTTAGATAAGAAAATTACAAGGTAGATATTTGAGGATATAGTGAAAAAAAATAATTTAAAAGATCATTGTTATGAATACTAAAAAATTAATTATTTAGTATTTATATTTAAGTTCTACAGAGAATCAACCAAGATTAAAATGTGGATAATAATAATTTTTAGGGGAAAAAATGGGTTTTCCCTTATTCCATGCAATTAATATTTTCTTTTTCTTTACAGATAAAAGAGAACTGGAAAAGAATGAATTGATGTTAACATACTCAACATTAAATTTGACTTAAATCTAAATATGTCTTTTGTTGTGATTGCTTCAAGAGCAAATAGGATCAGGAAATTTAAAGTGAAGGATAACCAGAAAGTTGATCATTCAACAGATGCAAAGAAAATAAGCCTTTGAGAGAAATTATGTCAAATGCATGAATTGAATTAAATTGCACGTAATTTTTGTTTCACCAACGTTTATAATATGTGAAAAAATGTTTAAAACGTGTTTAACCATGGTTTGACACATTTTTGTATGGTATTTATACATTTACAATATGAGCAGTGCAAATAATAAACCCATTAAACATGTTATGAGAAACATATGTTACACACACGTTGAACGTACGTTATTCATATGTGAAACGTACGAGTAACATACGTGTACAATATACGTGTAACGTATGGTGGGAAATACGTACGTTTAACATGCGTGACACGCATGATATATCACACGTGTGAAAACATACGTATAACGTACGTGGTATTTTTTCATGGAAAACGTACGTGGCACAATTAGCTGTGTAGTCCACTCACACGACAATTATTTTTTTTCTAACACCGCCGACGTTTATTTTTTATGAATTTTCAAACTAATTTTAATAAATATTTAGATAATAATAATAATAAATGCCTCTAAGCCAAAATCTAAAACACATAAATACAATCAAAATTAATTCAGTATTTTCATTTTAAGAAACAACCCAAACAAATCACACGTCTACGCGTGTCACGTGTATTGTGGCGCAACTATTATACTCAATCGTCTGTTTTGGATGAATTTCTCGAGACAATCAAGCCGTATTGTAAACAGCAGTAATATTAATTATGGTCTCAAGACAAAATACACGATTGAATTGTGAATAAAAGGAAAGAAAAAAATGCCATATTTTGTTTGCAGCTATCGGGGTTTCGATATCACCCGAATTTTCTCGCAAACGAAGACACTGGTAACTGGTCCGCAGAGAATAAGATTTATATCTTTATACATACGCTTTTAATCATCATACTTGCTTGTATAAATTACCTGAAGGCATATGAAAAAAATTTGCGCTAACGAAGACACTGGTAATTAATTTATTACATATAGAACGGGTAATAAAACAACTAATATAATGATCGGATATCAAACGAACTTTTTTTCTTATTAACATTTCTAAAAAATTATTTAACTTGAATAAAATAATAATTACACAAAGCTAGATAGCAATCTCAGTTAATGCGCAGTCGTAATCTCAAGATCCGTCTGATACATATCTAAATAAGTTTTTTTTAGCTTGTAGTTGTTTGCCACTCAGATATTCCCCCTTTCTTTCTCTGTCAATTAATTGAGATCTAACTTATTATTTACCCAATGTCCCGGTAGCTGGTCCCCCAAGAAAGAGTCTGTAGTTGTCTGATTCATCAGAGACAGAAAACTGATGATAGAGTTCATATAACGTGGTACCGTTTCTTAATGTAATGGAGACGTAAAGGGAGGATTTATTTCCCTTGGTAAGTTGATGAATCACGTCATTACCTTCAATAAATGAACGAAGGGGTATGTTAAACTGATATGAGCAACTATATTTATTCTTTTTATCATTCGTCATACTAAGTACAGTGCAACCAATATAATAGAACAATTTTTTGCAGAAATGTTTCCATTATGGGGATCTTTAATCATGATCATTTATAACTTAACTAAAAGTTATTTTTATTTAAAAGAAAAAAAAAACTTAAAAATCTAATATTTAACTCAATATATAAATGTTCGTATAATTTTAAGAAATATTTACCTATCCAGTAAGAGTCAGATGGATCTCCAAATCCTTTTTTATATTCCGCCCACGTTCTATCAAAACCAATAGATCCGCTCGATCGTTTCTGAATTGCCTAAAGATTAAATGGATTCATTGAATATATGCAAATGTACTATTCTTATACACTTCTTATTAAAACTTTAAATGGTGCCTAACTTAACAACAGATACAGCCTACTAAATCAAAAACTAATTTTGTACTTCTTTCTTTTGGTTATGTATCAAAACAATGATAATAGCCTTGACCTACTTTTCAAGCTAGTGGTTTGTGTGTATTTCTCAATTGTTAACATATTGACCCCTTTTTTTTAATAACAAAATATAAAAAGTAAAAAAAAAAAAAAAAAAAAAAACTACTCTTTGGATAATAAAATATAAGATTAATGGTAAAGTTTTAGGAAATAGAAATAAACAATCTAATTTTAACCTATAAACTGTTCGAATTTAACTAACGATGCACGAGTTTCTAATAATCTACGCGTGATCTATCACTTTCAAATTACTTGCACATAAATCAACTATATTTTCATGCAGTTAGTCATGAGTTATCAAAACTCCATCATTCAATTTTTATGACCAATGAAAATAGAGCACATGATTTGAAAAAATATATTTGCTCTGTATTTCTTTACATTTGTACATTGCCCATTCAAGTCTGAACGTAATTGATGACGATTGTGATTTTGCTAGTGCAATTCTAAGACAAGGTGCAAACCGAAATTATGAAGAAAAAGTTCTTAAATGAGTTAGTCCTAACACCCGTTAAAGTATATAATGGGAAAATTAAACGTTCAACGATTGCCGCATGGGAATATGTCCACTTTTGACCAAGATGCCCATTTTTGTTACAATTAATGGATTCAACAATTTGTGTTAAAATTAAAATAAGACTTATCGGAATATTCAGCCCATTCTCTAAAGAATATTGTGCGTGGTTTGTTACGCATCAAGTTTATGAGAGACGAAAACATTCATTTAAAATGTGTTATGCAGACTTCATTTTAGATTTCAAAATTGACGCAAAATTTTTAGAGTTTTTACATTAGGAAAAATACACCTCCACTTTGCTCATATGACCCTTTATTTTCTCATATTTTGGCTACTTTGTTTATATCTTTTATTATTCAGTGTCGAGGAACATTTGAATTGTTGCTTTATCACCTCTTCGTGCTCTATTGTAATAGACCATAACTGTTTGAGTCATGCTTTATCAAAATAAAAGAACAATGGTTTTCAAAGGAAAAACACTGCAACCAAGACACAATTATTAAGCTTAAACATATGTAATAATTTGTGTTAAAAATCAAACAGAATTGAGCCCTTATGAAAGATAACGACCGTGTGAACAAAATAAAATATTTTTATAAAATGAAAAATACAAATTTAGTTGGAATGACCTTGTCACAATTAATTTATTTTTGTTCTTGTATATATTTTTGTCAAATAATAAAACGTAATTTTTTTAAATTAGATCGAGTTATAGCATGGTTCCCCCCTAAAAAAATCAATCATGATTTAACAAATTTGTATTTTACAGCATTCCATATCTGTCCACTAAAACCCTATGTAAATATCATGGTTAATTCATAATTTTTTCAGCAAGAAGGTTATGAAATAGAAATTTAAAGGAATCAAAAAACTAAAGTCTAATTTTAAAAAAGTTCAACAACTAAGGACGTAAATGAGAGAGAGAGAGAGAGAGAGAGAGAGAGAGAGAGAGAGAGAGAGAGAGAATGATCTTACTGTCCATCCTCCGCCCTCGGTCTCCATGTCACAGTACACGTGTACCTGACTTTCATTATTGTAGGGATGTATTCTATATACATCGGTCGGAGAAAGTCCAGCAAGATAGAAGTCCATGCAATCTCTGTTTAGTTTGGAACCTAATGAAAAAATAATTATTAAAAAAACGTAAAAACAGAACGTAGAAATTTAAAAATGGGAAAAGGAAAAACGAAAGAAAGTTAAAAAAAAATAGATATATACCGTTCTCGATTATCTGTTTTATATCCCTCTGTAAATCTTTATGGACATCTGTTATATTCTCCTCGAGAATCTTCAACATCTCACCAAAGTCCTGAATCTTATTTTGATTTGTGGAAATCCTCTGGTGATCCTTACTTAGAGATTCAATCTGCCGTCTTAACGATTCTACTTTCTGTTGTAAAGCGTTGTCCTGCCTCATCGAATTGACCTGACTTACTAACATTTCTACAGTCTGCACCAAAGTGCTGTTTTTACTTAGATTGTCAATCTGCCTTTGTAATGCTTCTACCTGCAGCTGTAAAGAGTTGTCCTGACTCAGAGAATCAAGCTTTATCTGTAATGCTTCTATTGTCTCTGCTAAAACGTTGTGTTGACTTTGAGTTTTGATCCGCCTTTTCAAAGACTTGACGTCATCCATCACTGCCGTGACGTCCCTGACCACGGACACGCGGATCAGAGTCTCCTGGTTGATCAACTGTCTGAGAACGTCTATTTCCTTGATGTCGCGTCTCTCGTGAATCAAAGCTGTGGAGTTAGAACCATAAGTACCAGTTAACAAGGAAGCCGTGTTCACTTGAGAAATTAAAATCAAAATCACAAAGAGAATGGAAAACTTCATCCTTTCAATTTTGCCGTATTCTTACTACAACAGAAGAGAAGGATATGGAGATAACGAACAGAATGTTGTGCAGAAAAAACAAAGTTTTACGGTATATATAGAGACTTTTGGATAACTCTCTAAAGTAACCAATAGAAAAAGAGTGTATCAGAAATGACTTACAGACGGTAGAATGATAAAACACAAAAATGATTTCTTTGATATCAGAGCTCCATAGCGTTGTTTTTAAGATAATGATTACAAACATGAAACACAGGGGAAAGAAAACATCTGGCTGTTTTTTATCAGATAAAAGAAATAAGGCAATTTAGATGACTACACGCAATGGTAATGGAATTCTTCGCTCTTTTTTTAAGATAATGGAAATAAAGGAATTTTGCTGATCATAAACAATAACGATAAAATTCTTTGCTGTTTTATTTATTAATGAGAATAAAGCAATTACAATGGAAATTCCGGGGTGTTTTATATAGATAATGATGTTAAACAATATTTTAGATCAAAGCTTATGCAGTTAAAATGCATTCTTTTTATATAGATATGGGAGTGAAACATTTTAAGGAATGACTGGTATTTTTAGATCTAATTTCTTTTAGATAACTTCTAAAAATAACAAAGTTTTTCTTATGTACTATTATGAAATTAGAAATGGAGATCAGTGCTTCAACTCCTTAATCGATTTGACGAATTTCATCCTTAACAAGGGACCAAAAGAGAACAGTTTGATTATGGAGAGGGGGCTATGCCTACTGCCAAATTCGATTTTGTATTTGTTAGATAATAAAATATATTCAACTAAACAATCTAATTCAGAGAATTCGTGATCACCGCTTAGGGAAAAAGTCGGATCCCCCTGACTGAATTTGTAAGATTATTAAATGTATACATGTATACTGAAGCAAATAAAATACATGTATATCAATATGCTTATAAAGATTTGATTGCTTATTCTTTATTATGTGTGTAGAAGATTCTTTTTATATGGAATATCTATTACACTGTAATGATGATTTTATAACCTCATAAATTTTTCTTTTCACATGCCGAATACTATCATTTAAAAAAAAGAAAAGTTTACAAAAAAAGAAAAAAAAAACATCGTCCGATATTCAATCCCGGTTCCTCTCACAGCGGGAGACATACCACTAGACCACGTAATCGCCTTAAGTGAAGTGAAGTATATGCAGAAGTCAAGTCACAGACATGTATATATTCATGTTCAGTATTGTCAAAATTTCACACATTCCATGGTGTTTGATTTATTTAGCCTTTATTAAACAATTCTAATAGATGTAATAAGAACATAAAGTCCACCGAGAACCTGTTTTATACGCAATAACTCTCCGCATGCCCCTATGCTAAAAATAGCGACATGTAATACTATAAATACTAATAAAACAAACTGGGCGGGGCACTTTTAGAGGGGTGAGAGAGGTCCTAGGGAGGTTGGTATAAAATTACATTGCATAAGCTCAAAATCTTCTTGAAATATCGCCCGGAAATGATAGTGTTACACACAGACAGAATGTATAAATTTTACGACCTTGAACTTTGACCTTTTGACCTCAAAATCAATAGGGGTCTTCCTTAGGCCACAGAGAGTTGTTATGTAAAATTTCATTGCAATAGCTCAAATATTTCTAGAGATATCGTGTGGAAACGAAAGTTTTATAACTAACAGAATTTGCTTATTCATGACCTTGACATTTTGACCTCAAAATCAATAGTCCATAGAGAGTTGCTATGCTAAATTTCATTGCAAAAGCGCAAAGGGTTCTCGAGATATCGTGTGGAAACGAAAGCGTTACAGACAGACAGACAAACCCAAATTAATATCCCCCACTTTTCAAGTGGGGGACAAAAATTTGATTACCTATAAATTAAAATTCAAGTAATGAGCCTTATAAAAAAGATAAGGTTGTTATCTGCCTTGTCAGAAAGGAAAAGTTCATTCTGATCGTGATATCTAGAATTGTTGTTAACGGAAAAGTGTTCATAGTGAAGAATTAATTTCATGATGATAAATATTTGCAGTAATTTTAACTTTCATGAACGAAATGGATTAAGGGCAGACGAGACGTTCCTTAATAATAAATAATTTTTTCTAAGAGTTTGTCATTGAAGTGTTGCTACTTAAACATGTTTACTTACAAAAAATTGAGGTACCTTGCCAGGCATTTCGGCAAGATATCAGGGGTAGTTTTTTTATATAATCCATTGGGTAAGAAAATAATTTTTAAGTTTCAAATGTTTAAGTGTTTGGATGTTTTAAAAACGTTTAGAAACTGGTTTAGAAATCAGAATGTTATTAAAATTTTGAATACTTTTCATACATTACCAAGAAAAACAAAACAGATTTTGAGGAACGTCTCGTCTGACCTTAAATGAATAAAAAATGTTTGTATGAAAGCTTTGATAATGACTTTTGATATTGTTCATACTCTTGTACTTTTGTTACGTAACACAAAATGTGCTTTCATTTTTTACATATTAAAATGGAAAATAAACCATTAATATGTACAAGACTAACAACGTTTATTTTAGTCAAGAACCATTTGCTCGTTGACAACACACCTTATATTTGCACACTTTAGCTCAGCATTGAAAATAAAAACAGACCTAATTTGATGATAGCCTTATGTAAAAGAAATTAAAAAAAAATACGAGGGTTATCCCAGAAAGCGCGAAAATTTTCAATATTTGTTGTTTCACAAATACTATAAATTTAAAAATTGGTAAACATAATAATAAACATTGTTACAAAATTCACCGGAATTTCTATTGCTAAAATTTTTATCTTTGATAAACAAATAATTCGAAAGAGCAGTCGACACAACACTGACGACCTCAAAACGTCACTCGTGGTTTTGAATTTGTTCAGAAAACTAGCATCTTTAAAAAAATAAATTGTTCAAAGCATATATTCGACAATGCATTTGGTTTTCTATAAGTAATCGAGTTATCCATGTCAGAAATGCTACAGTTGAAAATAAATCAAGGAATTTATTCTTTTAATAGATAATTTTCTAATCTAATTCTAAAAGCTCGAATAGTTAACAGTAATATCCACTTATGACGTCCAGCTCTAGACTTTTTAGTTGTCATTTGTAGGTCTACTAAAGGCTTCTTCAAAGCATAACTAGTAACATTTTTGAAACTCTTTTACTATGTGCAAGCCAATTTTCGCATCTATTTGTGTAGTTTTTTTCCTGATCCCCAGCTCATTTTTCCCTATGAACAAGGACCATCCCCTGCTCCACACAACACTGGGTGATAATATTTGGTGCGTTGCATTATTGCTCGACTTCACCGTATTTTTGACAATACATGTATATAACTAATAGCGTTTGTGCATAAAACGTAATATTTTTCTAATTAATAATGTCAGACAAGAACTCTACGTTATACAGTTTCTAAGAATTAGTATTCACTAATTATGGAGAAAAAAAAAATCATTTAAACAATTCAGAATATTTTTTTTATTTTACAAATTGAGATTCTGTCCATCATTCAAGACCAAGAAAAGAAGATAGATATTTTGCATCTGTAATAATGTGAATGGGTTGACGAAAAACACTTTTGTTGAGTTCAGTTATTTCTTCATAAAATTTGTAAGGTTTGGAATGTCATTGTCAAGAAGACTCTAGCTTTTCGAATTGTAATAAAAATCGTTATCAGAATGCAAAACGCCATTTTTTAGATTATAGATTAAAGAAAACAGACCGGATATATCCTCTTTATAAAGATGCGAAACAGTTTATGTATGGACGATAGGGGAAATAAAAAAAAAACAGATCGAATGTTAAAATCATGTCTCTATCATAAACTTCCTCACTGTAAAATATATCAATTATCCCTTAAACTCGGTCGAAATATAACGTGTATGACTCATATGTCATTTCTCATCTGCTGCACGCTGATAGTTATAACTTTTAACTGTTTTATATAGATATTGGAATTGATGCAATGCTTCAGATAACATGATAAGGTGACTGAATCACCCTGCTGTTTTGTGTATATATTTAAAGAAAAGCAATCTGGAAGATAGCATAAACAACCCTCTTTTTATGTTGGTTATCAAATTGAAGATCTCACGCAATGTCTTTTAAATTTGCTTGCTTCTTTCTGAGGAAAAAATGAAGATAGATTTTATTTGCACATCACGTTGAATTGTAAAGGAAGAAGAATGTGATATTAATGTAAATCACTGAAGTGGAGTGAAATGACACACCGATTGCTGAATAACAAGTTTGTTGTTTTTTTTTTTTTACTACAAGACGTTATTCAACATTCTATCAATGAACCAAGAATTCAAAATTATTATTTTCATCCATGAAGTATTTGGTTATCTATTCAAGATTGTTAAAAATACTTTTAGGTAATTCTGTGATAAATTAATCTAGATACTGCTAATCTTCTAAGATTCAAGGTTTTTTGGAAGTCTTAGAAAAGGTCATGAAAAAGTTGACTTTAGGACCCTAAAAAAGGGAAAAAAAATTAATACAGTTTCAGAGAAATAATATTTTCTTAAATCCAGCTTTAAATACCAATGCTTATTAGCATGATATGAAATAAGAAGTAATTTGTGGTGTCTTGCAATGATAGTAAAAGCATTTTACACCATGTCTTATAGAATACATGACGAGAATAGAAAACAAAAAATACCAAATAGGTATAAAAATCATGACAGTGTATTTGAATGCCTGGATACCTCTCTCTTTAAAAAAAAAAATAAAATAAATTTATTGATCAATTTGCAAATTGAAAATGCGTTGCTCATATTCCAAATCGCTTTTTCTACAAAAATGTTGAAGATTTGAAAATTTCCCCTATATAATATGATTAACTTTATTCTTTAACTTTATATAAATACGGTGGATAAATTAACATAACTTTGTAAATTCAAAAATACTTTTGTGAGTATTTTGAATTACATAATTGCTAATTTTATAAACCTGAGGATCGCACTACCTTAAGATTGTTAAAAAAATATTCGTACTTTAAGGTAAATCTGTGATAAATTAATCTAGATATTGCTAATCTTCTTTGAAAAAAAATAACTTTTGCATACTTGCGGGTATTTTAAGGATACTCAAAGATCATAGTTTGTCGAAAAAGACACTGTTTTGTAGAATGAAACAATACTTGACGAAGGGATGGTTAAAACATTTACTATTATCATCCATTCTCAGTCTTAGATTCAGAGAAGCAGTCCACGACGATGCAAACGATATGCTTTAATGTACAAGTGAACTTTTTGGTGATATAATAATGTTAATGCAATTAATGGGTATAACAAATGGCCCATGGGCCATATTGGTCACCTGGGTATCATGAAACAGCTTTCCAACAATTTAAACAGGTCGAGGAAACTACCTTATATGGATATTGTTGTCATTGCGCACAGAGGTGCGCACAGCATACAATGACCCAGTCGAATGAATGAACCGCAAAGCATGCTGGTCTACTACGTGTTTACATTTTACTACAAACACGTGATTTCGGCCAATTTACGACAAGATTTCAAATGCCTGTCGGAGAGTCAACTAATATCTATTTTTAATTTTTTTGTTACAAATAGAAAGAATAAGGAGTAAATAAACTGTTCCATGCTCACATTAACAAACAGAGCTGATTTTATGTGTTAAATACTTGGTTGAAATAGCGCTCACAAACTCTTCACAAGTAATAAAAATTAAGTTTTTATACTTGATATTCATTTATTTACCATATGCTACTGGTCGAATTCATTTATTGACTAAAAGTTCATACATTCTTAAACAAAAGTGTATTGCTGTACGACATTTATTCTACACAATTGTACTAAAGTCTCACGTACATTTGACATATAACAGCTGCACATGGATTAAGTAGCATGCATATACATGTTTATACATATATACAAGTATATATATCTTAAATTTGTATACTTAGTAAATAATATTTACAAAGTCACTATGTACATAATGTTCGCATCTTTGTAATCATTCCATAAACGAATGATAAATAAATTAACTGCTAAGTCTACGGACAAGCATACACCAACTTTCTAAATTACACGTTTAAACTTATCAAATATCAATACACTCAGAACAATCCAAAACTTCATTTCTAAGAACTTTAAGAAAGTCCAATAAACTAGATTTTTTTGCACTTTTAAGTGATTTTCTTTCTGATTCGTAAAATTGTATTTTATCTGAAGGAAGCAGAGAAATATGTTCATCAATTAAAATCAAAAGTTGAGCTTTAGTCTTGTTTTCGTCTTTTGACATTTCTATCTGTTCAGTTTTTGAAACTGGGATTTTCTGAAATTTCAAAGGACTTGGATATTTACAATGCAACAGAAAATCTGTAAAAATCAATCGCATATTTTCCAAAGATGAAAGGGTAAATGATAATACATTTTGGCAAATTTTGTCAGAAGATTGATCTATACCGGAAATGCATCTATTGGAAACGGGTTGTAAATAGTTTGATTTTCTTATTTTCATTCTGAATTTATCTCTTTCTTCAGCAAAATTTTTGATTTGTTTTGGTTGTGTGTGGTGATCTTGGATACCTAACAAAGCACAGATATTTTTGGATAATATTTCCAGGTTATCAAAATTTTTTATAACTATTTCCCATTTAAGACTGTTTGCAACACCACTCACATGTTTTTTAATGTTTCTATTGTATTCTTCAAGAATAAAATCTAGACCCTGGTGTGCATCTTCGCGGCCACTACGTGAGAAAGATGTGTTATTATTTAAACAATCTAATATTTCGGAGGGCATGAGAAGTCGGGAGGTGAGGTTAAAACTGTCAATCAACATGTATTTGGTATGATGCCTACCGTACCATATTTGTCTGAAAACTTTTCTTGCGCTATCTACAAGTTGATACTTATTTCCCCTGACACCTTCTCGAAACATAAAAATTGATTCTAGGCAAGGCAACATTGTCTGGAAAATAAATTGCAAAGTTTGGTCATTGCTTCCCTCCACCCACTGACAAAAGCCTTCAAAATTTTGTTCAACTTCATTTGATTTAGTAATTTTGAAAGAATTTACTAATTCCATCCAAATACATTCTCTGAATTTTATTAAATTATCAAATGCTATATGGTGGTCAGAACAACGTTTTGCAAATGCGAGTGCTTTTGGTGTAGAATAACCCTGGGTTTTAAAGAATTCCGACAAAATGAAATCATAAAACATTTCTGTAAAAGACTTAAACATATTCATTTCTTCGTGTCCTAGGCCTGTAACTGGAATAATCCATGAATATTTGTGGGGTTCTTCCATAATTAATTGCCATAACAACGTCATTGGTGAACCGTCGCAGACAATATAAACAAAATAACGTGACTTTGTATTTATACCTGCATCGACCGCAATTTTATCAAGGACAACTCTGAGGGAAGATTTGGATGCAGGATTTACGAAAACGGGGTCTAACAGAGTAATTTTAGGGGTCCTGATACTAGTATTTGAATTGGAACTCGATTTCGATTTATGCGAATACAAAGGGTGTTCATCGGACTCAGTGCCTGGTGTAGGACAAACTGAATTACTCTTCAAAGTTACACCCCCTCCTTCTCACAACATTCTACGTAATTTGTAATCTTAACCTTTGTTTCATTTTTGTTTGGAATAATTCTTGTTGAAATTGGTTCGTCGATCGATGTACCGTGTCTTATGTTTATTTTACAAACATCACATTTGATTTTCTTTTTATCGAATACTTTTTTGCATTGTTTACATTGGATAGTTGTAGCTTTCAATTCATTTTCTAAAATTTTGTCTTGGATTTTGTCATTTTCTTCAAAACATAAAACAGCTTCAAAACTTTTTCTTAGAGATTCTTTATTTTCTTTCTTTGTCGAGAAAAAGCGAAAGTTTGGATTTTTTCAAAATTTCTCCAGATTTCTGGATGAAAATTTGGAGATTTTTGGAAATAGTAACCTTCCAATTCTAACTTGATAATATTTGTCATAACTTCAAGTGTTTGTTTATTTGAGTTTCTTGATAACCAAACCTTTTGTAACCTTTGGTTGTTGTCAAAAGCATACATGAGATCAGATACAGAATTGTCACTATCATTTTTGTGTGGTTCTAGTTTGGCTAGCCAGTTCTGAAGGAAAGGATAGCTACCTGATGGCAAAGTGTGGCAAAATAATTCAACAGCAGTTTTACTCCCTGTTGAATTATATAATAACACTAAAGGAGCAAAAGACAGTGGTGAAACGTAACGCAGATTATTAGCGGAAATTAACAATTCTAATGCTAAACATTTCCGAAATTTCCGTTTTTGGCGATTTTCAAATGATTCGTCTTCTTGCGAGCGTTGGGTCAAGCAATCAAAGAGTGTTCTGACAACTGGTGCCTGCTTTTCATACATTTCATCTAAAGAAATATTTGACAACATACTTACATCACAATCAAATTGATTCGATTTCAATGAATTTGATTTTTCACAAAATATTTCTTTCACAAAATTGATTTGATCTTGTTGATTGTGGATATTATATAGACCACTCATTTCATTTTTCAATTTATTGATAACAATTTCTTTCTTTTTAATTTCTTCATTCAAAATATCTATTTGGTATTGCAAATTCTCAAGCAAATGCACATTTGTATCATAAATGAAATCTGTTTGACATACATTGTCTTCTAACATGCTTGCGCTTGTACAAGTCTGAACTTCTTTTCCACATGAAGAAATTGGCACCGTTTGAACAGCAGCATCCAAAGAAGAAGTAGATGGTGCTAGAGTTGGACACACTATACCTGTCTGGACTTCGATGTTGACATGGTCAGACGATTCGTCGTTGAAGGGAATATTTGATTTCTTTCCTTGTGACCCTCCTTGTTCTGACTCGTCTGATTTTCTCTAAAAAGTTTATACCTTTCACTTCGTAAAATATCCAAGTTAACAGTTTAATTTCGCTCAAGAAAGAACAATGCAGAGATGAGCACCCATGTGCCTTATATATTCGTTAACCTACTATACAAAATTATATGAAGTTCATTTACATGGAGCATTTTCCCGGGTTTTGGGGGTAGTGTGCAATTTCTTTTGTCCTGAACATTTTTGGTGAAGTTAAATCATTTGAATTAAATTTTATCAAATTGAATGAATGTCCAATGTTAATGTAATGTAAAAAAATTATCTGTAAATGTATATTTAACAAACAAACAAAAATAAAATAGGATGTGTGTAAGCATGGGTTAAATCAATCAAATAATATCCAGATTTTTATTGTATTCCATGAATAAAAAAATCTCAGTTTATAGAATATAACGTCATTGTGACCACCTTTTTTACTTTTTGATTCAACATATATTTTGGTTTTCCACTCTGTCATTATAACTGTATGGGAGACAAGGAGGGCTTGCTCACAGTACCTCTAGTTTTGGAAGAAAAAAAAAACGATGTGCATCTCATATGCAATGAAAATTGTTTACAAAAACAAGTCATGCTACCTCAGTAAGGTAAATGTATATCCAATTAAGCAAACATTATATTTCAGTCACGTAGCATCGTTTTTGAAAAGGATGGGGGGGGGAAGAAATATTTTTTTACGAACTTGAAAAAGTTGACTAGTTTGAAAAAAAAGGAAAATTGACCGAACTCGAAAATCCTATTTCGTAGGTGGGGTGTATTTTTTATGCCCATTTCCTTCAGTACCACTCTTTTTGGTATTCAACACTACATTTTCCTGGTGTCAATCTACTGTAGTATAAAGTGGGGGAGGGGGAGGGCGGGCAGCCTTGCAATGAAGATTTTCAATAGTAAAAGTAATGTTGGGGAAAAAAGTGAGGGGGCCTTGCAGGCCCCCCTGTTGCTACGTGCATGCATTTGTATTATATGACTTACTTTGCGTGACGACCTTGCCAAAAACGCACAGCACCCAGTGCAAATAGATCTACGTGAATCCCGCAGCCCGTAAAGTTTTGCCGAATTACGTACAGCTGCTGGGATGTGTTTTCTGTCTAGCAGATTGTCTGTCCCATGTTCAAAATGTTTTTCGAAGGAGCATCGACGCTTGAATGGCATTGCAACAAGTAGCAATAATAGAATTTTGCACCAAAGCATTTCTACACCATTCTAAACTGTATACATGACAATAGTGAGTACACCTCGATTCGGTTGTTTAAGAGCATGGAATACACGTGAAATTTTTATTCATTGATACACAGCTGATACAATAAGCACATGAATACAATCAATTGTCAACAAATAGACTTATTCAATGGAGTGGAGAAAGCCCCAATATTATCATTATTAATGAATTGTTTGTAAATGTGAGCATGGAATTAGTAGATAATAATATAAACTTTGTATAAAGCATGAAAAAATCTTGAAAAAATGCATCATGTCTTTCCGAGAGCAATTTGAAAACACTGGTATTTTACAAACGTAGTATGTTTTGTAGTAACCCAACTCATTCAGCGGATTGGTCGATTTGTCAGTCACGTGGGTATCTCATTTAGCATGTAAATTTATTCCGACGTCACAGAAAATAGTTTCCTCGACCTGTTAAATTGGTTCGTGTTTTAAACCCGAGGCCATAAAATTCAAAATTCAGAAAGAAGTACCATTGCTTCTCATAATTATACAGTCAGCATGCTTACTGTAGTTACGTAATACCCCGAGTTACATCAGAGTAACAACCAAACAAGAGGCCCATGGGCCACATCGCTCACCTGAGCACTAAGGGTAGGAAAAAGTAGAAAATGGCTTTTTATTGTCAAGTTTAAATCCAAAAGTAGTCCCATGACTAATCAAGGATTTGCTATTTTCTAGAAAATGATTTTTAAAGAATTTTCCTTTATATTTCTATGCAAAACTTTGGTCAGCCATTTTGGCCCCGCCCTACCCCCGGGGGTCATAATTTGAACAAATTTGAATCTACACTACTTGAGCATGCTTCCATATAAATATGATGAATTTTGGCTTCGTCATTCTTGAGAAGAAGTGTTAAAGAATTTTCCCTACATTTCTATGTAAAACTTTGGTCGGAAATTTTGGTCCCGCCCTAGCCCCGGGGGTCATGGTTTGAACAAGCTTGAATCTACACTAGCTTGAATCTTCACTACTTGAGCATGCTTCCACATAAATATGATGAATTATGGCTATGTCATTCTTGGGAAGAAGATTTTTAAAGAATTTTCCTAAATATTTCAATGCAAAACTTTGGTCGGCCATTTTTGCCCCGCCCTACCCCCAAGGGTCATGATTTCAACAAACTTTAATCTACACTACCTGAGCATGCTTCCATATAAATATGATGCATTTTGGATTGTCATTCTTGGGAAGAAGATTTTTAAAGAATTCTCATATATATTTCTATGTAAAATTTTGGTCGGCCATTTTGGCCCCGCCCTACCCCCGTGGGTCATGATTTCAACAAGCTTGAATCTACACTACCTAAACATTCTTCCATATAAATATGATGAATTGTGGCTTTGTCATTCTTGAAAAGAAGATTTTTAAAGAATTATCCTATATATTTCTATGTAAAACTTTGGTCGGCCATTTTGGCCCCGCCCTACCCCCGGGGGTCATGATTTGTATAAACTTGAATCTACACTACCTGAGGATGTTTCCCTATAAGTTTCATCTTTCCTGGCCCAGTGGTTCTTGAGAAGAAGATTTTTAAAATATACCAACAAATTTTCATTAATTCCCAATTATCTCCCCTTGTATGAAGGCATGGCCCTTCATTTGAACAAACTTGAATCCCCTTTACCCAAGGATACTTTGTGGCAAGTTTGGTTGAAATTGGCCCAGCGGTTCTTGAGAAGAAGTCGAAAATGTGAAAAGTTTACAGACAGACGGATGCCGGACAAAATGTAATCAGAAAAGCCATCAGTTTCACAATTTTGTAGAGAGCTCACTGCTTATTATAATCATGACAACAGTTTGACTGCTTAATGACCTGAAATGAAGACGTGAATGAGTAAAGTAATTTTGGTGGTTTAAGCCCCACTCCTCCTGTGCTAGGCACCCATAGATGTTGTATATATCTACCAAATTTAGTAAATATTGGCTCAGTGGTTCCAGAGAAGAATCTACAAATGTTCAAATGTTCACGAAGGACGGGCGACGTAAGACAACATACAACAACAGTGAGCAATACGTCATCTGAGTTTACTCAGGTGACGTAAACCAGACCGGGTGTATCCTCTATTAACAGAGGTAAGGACGATAGTGGAATTAACCGATCGTATGTTAAAATCATAGCTCATAAAAATACAAACTGTAAAATATATTAGAGGTCCCTAACACTCGGTCGAAATATAGCGTGTATGACTCATTTGACATTCTTCTATCTCCTCTGCTGCACGCTGATGATTATAACTTCTGACTGTTTTAGATAGATAGTGGAAGTGATGCAATGTTTCACATGCCAAAGCAACTGAATCACCATGTTTTGCGTAAATGATTCAAAAGCAGATAGTAAAAAAACTTCTATTTTTATGTTGGTTTCAAATGCAGGCATTGCCAAAGATCACACGCAATTTCTATAAAAATTTCATTGCTTCTTACGTAGAGATTGTAAATTGAGATATATTTCATTTGTAGATTAATTGGAATGGTAAAGGAAGAAGAATGGTCTATAAATGTAAATCACTGAAGTGAAGTGAATTGAAAAACCAATTGCTGAAAATTAAGTTTGTTTTTTTACTTTGAGACATTTATCAACATTCTTTCAAAAAACCAAGTATTTTGATCAGCAAAGAGTTTGGATATCTATTTTTTTTACTTAAGATTATAAAAAAAATATTCGAGCTTTAAGGTAAATTTGTGATAAGTTAAAATAGATATTGCTAATTTTCTTGGGAAAAAAAGAAAGAATAATTTAGCATATTTGCGACGATGTTAAAGCTATACAAAGAGAAGAATTCGCCGAATTACACACTTTTTAAAAATAAAATAATACATAAGTAATTAGAAAAAAAAAACATGCCCAGAACATTTTTTAAAACTAGAACTATCCAATAGGGACAAATACCCCCCGCTTGGTTTTTCAGAGAAAAAATACTTTATGGATCTAGAGGTGTTCACAATTTACTTAAAACAATTTGCAGTGAAATATAATTGCTCATCATGTTTCTTAATGAATGAAACAAAGGTGCAACCAAATAAATTTAGAAAAAAATAGCTTATTTCTTCTTCAAATTTCTAATTATTCCTTCTTGCTGAATTAGAACTTGCATTAAATTACTTCGTATGTTTTTTTTTAAACAACTACACATGCCTAAATATTCTAATCATTAATATATTAAAGAATAGCAAAGAAGGACCATAATGGATTTCAATATATGTTTTCAAAATATAACTAAGAATAGCGTTATGAACAGAAGAATCTATATGAAACCACCAAGAGACCAAAAATAATCAGAAAATAAAAATTTCAGACTTCAAGGTTTCATGTATTTTATACCTGCTTTATATGGTGAATTTTTTTAAAAATCGGCATTCATGTCGTTGCCACAGTTTTCATTGAAGTTATGTATATTTCTAATGTTTTAAGAGATAATATTAAGAAAAAATGAGCATAAAAAAATAAAATGAAGATTTGATTATCACTCCATTTTTATATTTATTACTCCATTATATATTGTAGGCAATTCAGAAACGGATAAGCGGATCTCTTGGTTTTAACAGAACGTGGGATGCATATAAAAAAGGATTTGGTGACGTAACTGATTCTTACTGGATAGGTTAATATTTCTTTGTATTATATAACAATTTATTTAAAATTTGACTTTTACTAGATAGATAAATACCCCGGTATTTCTGTTATTCAACTGACACTTACTTGATACGTAAATATAAATCTTATCATTATAAAAAAATTAATAAATAAAATAAATTTAATTTAATACATGAAATAATTTTTGTTTTACTGGACTAGTTAAAATAACCTCTCTCATACCATACCATAAGATTGCTTATTAATAATTAAGATTAATACGAAATAAAGTGGATTGCTGATATACCGTCTCTGCAAGATATCTAATTGTATTTGGTTGTATTTATCTAAAGAGACTCTGAAAAGATATGTTTTGTCTTTATCGTGCTTATTTCTAATTATTTATTTTATTTTATTTTATTTTACAAAATTGACACGTTGCAGGAAATGACATGATCCACCAACTGACAAAAGGAAGGAATTCATCTCTCTACGTATCCATTACTTTAAAAAACGGCACCATATTATACGAACGTTATCAACAGTTCTTGGTTTCTAATGAATCTGACAAATACAGACTCTTTCTTGGGGGGCCATTATTGACAAGCAAGTTGATGAAACAAGAGTATCAACAGTCTCGTTTAAAGTCATCATTTCGTAAATTCTATGGTCGATACAATGGCCATGTCAGCAAATACAATTTATCATTGAATGAAATGCTGACTGACGTTTTTCATACCAATTGTTAGTCCATTATTTATACACTGAATTGACCACGGATTTTTTTTCCCGTTATTTCCTGATTATGACAACGAGCACACGGCGGGTGTGACCGGTCAGCAGGGGATGCTCACTCCTCCATGGCACCTGATCCCACCTCTGATGTTTCGGAGGTCCGTGTTTGCTCTGCTCTTATTTTGTATATTTGTTTAATGGACGTTGAGAATGAATACTGTTCGTTATTTCCATATCCTTCCTTACTGGAACATTGGGTAAGAACAAGGGTATGATAATGTCCTCGGTGCTCGTAAAATAAAACAAAATCACTTTTCAATGATTTAAATTTAATGGCTTCACTTCAATTTGAAACACATGTCCGTAACATGTTTATCCGATTTCTGATTGTTTTAGAACACAGTTTTGAGTATGGCCCTTCGTATGCTGGAAAATCGCAGGTTCTATGATTTTCTGAACTTGTTTCTACTTTCTTTAAGGATTTTGATTCATGTTTGGAAAATGAAACAAGTCAAAGGGTAAAAAATCTGTCGAATATTGTTGATGTGACAAAACATTAATTATTTGTTTATCCCCAAAACTCATTTACTTTTTATGGCGTGTAGGTTTGGACGCTGTCATGAGGAAATTTAATGTAGTTGATCCTTGATTCTGGTTCCCTTCTCTCACTTAATCTTTTTTTTTGGCAAAAAATCGCTTTCAGAGGTCTCCAGGTATTAAATTGCCTCAGAACAAAAATTTGAACAACATGCCCAATAGTATTTCAGAAAATGGCATATAAAACCAGTCTGTGCTTTAACAATTCTTTGCTCTTCCAAGACTTTGGTTGTTTTTGTCAAGTGCATCTCAATGAAAATTAAAGCAATGAATTCAAGTTTCATTATCAGTTTGAATTTCAGACGGACATGTATAACTACAATTTCCGTTTTTTTTTAAATAATAAAATAATTGTTCAGATATTCACACATGCTGTCGTTTTCACTCATTTTTCAAAACATAGAGTGGCCATTGATTACTAAGCTTTTTTTAACTGTTAGATGTACATTTAAAAGTTTAAACTACGCACAAAATAAGGCCTGTCAATTTTTTTATGTGTGTAAAAGTCAATCAAGCGA